GTCCAAAAATTCTTTTTTACTTATAGTGAAAACTACCCTTGGATGATGGGTTAGTAGACTAAAAGCTTTAGGAATCCAAAGTACAACATATAATAAGTACCCTGTATCAAGATTGATGCAAAACAAGTTACATTTGACCTTTTTAGAGAGCTTTAGCAAAACAAACTCCAACTCTGGGGTGATTTGGGTGGAAATGGGCGTTTTTGCCGTTTCTCTGGAACCCATTGGTCGATTTTTATGATTGACATCTCTTTTTAACCGTTAGAGCCAATAGAATCGAAGGGGAATTTCCACATACACACCAACGTTACCAAAAAAAAGTGGGGGCTTCGCGCATGCAGTTTGCCGTAAACCGAAACCTATCTCACGCTCTGAAATCTGAAAACGGAAAACTAGGTTTATTGCTGATGGATTATCAGAAATCATTTCAAAGTGACACAGACACATTGGATTAACCTACGGATTAACCTTCAGCAGCGTTTTTATCGTTTTAATGCCATTGAAGACAACTTTTGATCAGACAACAACGAAGGTAAGACATAATTGCCGTTTTTGCTACCTAGCGCCACGTGTTATGATGTCTGTTTTTGTTTATTATGTCGCGAGTTCTTATCATGGAGTGATGATATATATACCTATCGATTCTGTGTCTTCTCACGATGCTAATCGATGGGTTGGATGTGCAGTTACAATAAGTAATAAGGGTCTTATACCGTGTTTTCTGTGCAAACGCTGTTAGCATTTTTTCGCTCGTGGCTAATGCAGATGCTCAGCATTAGCTTTGTGTTTTTTTTTGCAAAAAAAAAAAAAAGATCAGTTAGCTGAGTTTCTTCCCGTTACATGGATATGAAACATTCATAGTTTATTAAATATTAAGAAGCCCTCAGATGCCGTTTCCTGCAGATGATGCGTTTTTCCGCCCGCCGGCGGGGGGGATGGGGTTTAACAGGAAACATCTAAACTCATTCAGCACCTTCTTTCTCTAAAAGTTCAGTGCAAAAGAAAGTCTAATTTGTCATGTTTTTTAGTCTCACTGCTTTTCTGTTTTAGTTTTTGTCTTTTTTTATAACTAAACAGCGTTGTGTCACTGACATGTCGAGTGGTAATCCGAGTGGGTCACAGTGCATCACTGCTATGGTCTGTTGATATTTCAGTCCTAACTTTTAAGCACACATGTAGAGGGTTATGATCGTGAACAGAGATCTTAAAGAGAACTCATTACACGGTTGAATTGAAAGCTGGATATTGTTAGGTCAATTTGGACATTTGAAAGGTTGTTAATACTTGCTAACAGACCGCTGCTAAGGATAACATGGCCGTTGCTAAGGAGGATCAAGGGACTATGCGCAGTCATATCAATCCGCAGAAAGAAGTCCGGTCAGGGCCTGATTCTCAAGAAACTAAAAATATGTCCGCTCTCGGCCCAGTCAAATAAAGAGACTTCTATTGCATGTTATAACATTTAGGACATTCAAGGATCCGCACTGGTTAGTTGTTTTAGCTGAAATAAAATACTGCACTGATTTACAGACGTCTCTTTGCCGATGTAAGTCAATGGGAAAAGGTATTTTTAGGTACAATGATGTCCCGTGACAAATAAGTTGTAGTTCCACAGTTTGGCCACTATGAAGAACAATTTGAGGATTACCTTTGCAAAGGTGTACAATATTTTCCTCACAAGCCAATCTGAGCATACTGGGCTTTTTCAGGAGCGGGGCCTAAAGAGACAGGCGCCATAATGGAGCGTTGCAGATAGATGGGGAATACAGGTTTATTCAGACAGAGAGTAGGAGAATTTAAACAAGTAAACATGTTCTAGTCCCAAAATGCAAATGCAAACTGCGATTAGCAATAAGCGCTTTTACACCGCAGTACTTCAGTCCGAGTAAATCGCCAGAACGCTGACACCTCCTCATCTCCACCGCTCCCATGTTTTCTTTTGTGTTGCCATAAGTTAGTCTCTCTGCGTTTGTGCGCTGGGCTAATGCTAATGCTAATAATGCTAATGCGAGGATAATAAAATGGCGGCTTCACAAAACCTTTTGGGAGTTTTACGGGGCGTGGTTTGCAATCCGCCCAGCCAATCAGAAATAGGAACCTTTTTCTCCCACGAAAGTATACCTGCTCTCTAGCAGGGACGGAAAAGGGGGTGAAAAGGTTCTCATGAACTAATTTTAGTTCCGGATTTCTTTGGTGTAAATGCAACATTTCGGAACTATATCCGAACTCAAGTGGGAAAAGTACTGCGGTGTGAAAGCGCCTATTGTATGTGCTCTTTCAGTACAAGTACAACCTATAAGTCTGCCAACACACATACAGCTTATATTGGGAGTTTGAGAAATTCCAAACAACAACATATTTTAACTACTCAACGATCCATTTAGAGCAGTGGTTCTCAACTGGTGGGTCGTGACCCACTTTTGGGTCGCGGACCCGTTTCGAGTGGGTCACAGATGTGTGAGTGAAGAAAAAAAAATTGAAAAAGAAAAATGTATTTTTTTTGTTTTGGGAAAAAAGGCAGACTTTTATTTTGAAGGCCCGATTTTCTAACGCTGTGCATGCAGTAGGCGTTGGACTGGAAGTACCGACCATAAATGGTTTTGAAAACTTCTGTCACATAGTGATCATCTTCTCAATAAAACATCTTTGCTGATGTTTTTTCGAGTCTTCTGGCCAATCAGAATCAAGATTGTTGGCGGAAGTCCCCACGGAAAATAACTTTGCAGTAGAACTATTCTTAAAACATCCATGGGTACAACTTCAGATACAAATGAACAGATAATGAAATATGACCCCCGGTTTGATGATTGACAGGTCACAGAACAATGGGGGCTATCTACCCTTACCCACAATTTAAAGTGGACCTATCATGCTATATTTAAATGATATATTGTAAGGCATATTTATACGTTTCTGTTTTCAAAATACCAAACAGATCATGCATTTTAGCCATGCCTCATTTCGCTCTATGTGCTGTTTGCTGTCTACGGGTCTGATTCTGCTGACCACGCCCCACTGCAGGAGAGGTGAGCCGTGCTCTGATCAGCTGCTGGGCTGTCAGAAGAGGGGGAGAAAAAGAGATCTCCGTCCTCCGTGTTTTATTATATAGAGTCGTTATTCATTTGTTTTAAAGCTCAATAAATAACAAAGAAGACCTTTGACCGGCACTTTTCTAATTTTGTCCGGAAGATTTAAACTTTAACGGACATCTTGACCGGCGAAACAAACTGAAACTGAAACTCTGCCGCACAGTCCCCTCGTTCCTTGGAACGGAGAGGTGGGTGTTTGTCATCTGCTGGTGGACTAACCGGAGAGAATTACAGTGCTTGCCTCGACGGGGAGGGATTGCATTGAATTAAAGCAGCGGGAGCAAACGCTTGCCTCGGGGAGGGAGAAAAAAAGCCACAGCGGAGAATAAACAGAAGGGTAACCATGGTAACTATGGGCGGGAAGTCTTCTTCGTTGCTTTTGAGGCAGACTACAGCGCCACTTACAGGCCTGGCATATGTACTACAGCGTCTCCAGCGCTTTCGAACGGCAATGGCCGTGGCTGTCTCCTCCTGATTGGTGGCCAGTTGGCCCAATAGCCGTAGCGCCACTGTCCTGACGTCAGGAAAGTGTTCAAATCTGGAACAGTTTTGATCAGATCCGTTGCAGCCCCTTTTTTAGAGATTTGGGTATGGAGGAAAATAGAGAGGGTTGTGTTTTCTGACACTTGGTGAGTTCCCTGGAACACCGGGGACACATATTCATGTATAAAAGACGTACAAAAGTGCATTTTGCATGATAGGTCCCCTTTAAAGTAATTCACACAGACTATCTCCTCTTTGCTCTTCTCTCTGTGTGGAGCAGCAAGCTGTCAGAACAAAGTGAAAAACAAACAATGGCATCAAATATTATTAATATGTCGGGTAGTAATAGATTTATTTATTTTCTTCTCAGAGTGTACCAGAATGCGTATTTTATATGTTGGTATTTCTAAAAATCTCCTGGGGAGAATCCCCCCACACCTCCCTTCTGGGGTTGGGTTTTCAGCATGTGTGCCTTTTTATGTTATACAGTTCAGCTTTGATTCCATCATCTCATTAAACCTTATTCAAAAGCATTCTTTAGTTCTGTGAAGGGATATAAGGGATATATGCACTGTACTTCACTTTAATTAATATTGTATGCTGAAAAGCGTATATATTACAGCACGATTTTTTGTTGAATAGATTTGAGTGGTTAAAAATGTCGGGTCGCGATTGATTGACAAAGGAAAAAGTGGGTCCCGAGGCCTGACCAGTTGAGAACCACTGATTTAGAGTATATTTTGTAGGTATATGGAGCCTATATTGCCTTTTCATAAGGGATATGAATGTAAGGAAGTGATTTAATCTGACATGTTTCGCTTGAAAGCTTATCACAGTTAGAACTATTTTCAAAGTCTGGTTGCTTGAAAATACTATTGCATCCACAGTTTAGCAGAGCTTTTGAGAGTGTGTATTTTCTGCCTGTCCCCATTTTTGGCTCAAGTTCTCTGTTTCCTGTCAACCATGCCCCCCCCCTCCTGCTCCTTTCCCTCCTTGCCCTCTCATTATGATCTTAGTCTTATATGGCCTGTAGTCCAGGGGCATTGTACAGAGGGAGAAGGCATGCAGAGGAAGTGGAGGATCTCTTGCGAGGTAGGGTGGGGTGCAGGACTGATTAGACATGTGCACTGAAAACCATTCAGGAAATGTCACTACAGCATCTGTTCCAGAGCTTATCACCGTGATAACAAGGAACAAGAGGCTGTACCACTTGTAAGACTGTTGTGCTTTCAAAGTGGCTTTAAGATATATGCCAAAAATGTTTAGCTCATAAATCAAACTTCTCAACCAGCTGACCAACCAGAAAACGAAACCATAATGGACCTGATGTTCTCACGGTCGGCCGCTGATGCACAGCCCTGGCCTGTCAGGAAGACGGAGAGACAGAGGGGGGAGGGATATGTAAGAAGGAGGGAGGAGAAAAACAGGGAGTGTGATAACAGTGCTCGGAAGATTTGTTGGCTTCGTGTCAGTGTTTCCCAGCAGCCTGCTGCGCTCACGGATTATTCTCCAACAGAGCCTGGATTATGAGAGCAGGAAGAGACTGTCACCCTCATGGTAATGTAGCGTTCTGACCTCCACTGTCTCTGTGTGCCTGTTTACTCAGCACATTGACCTGTGAGAGAAGCTGTTTCCTTCATTTCCTTATTTGACAGAAGTGCCGTAGGAGAATGACTCAAAGCTCGTGTGTGTGTGTGTGTGTGTGTGTGTGTGTGTGTGTGTGTGTGTGTGTGTGTGTGTGTGTGTGTGTGTGTGTGTGTGTGTGTGTGTGTGTGTGTGTGTGTGTGTGTGTGTGTGTGTGTGTGTGTGTGTGTGTGTGTGTGTGTGTGTGTGTGTGTGTGTGTGTGTGTGTGTGTGTGTGTGTGTGTGTGTGTGTGTGTGTTCAGCTGTTTCCTTCCTGTTGTTGGCAGCGGTGAGCTTAAGGACAGTTTGTATTTGCCTGTTAGGTGGAGGCGTATATCCAGAGCCACGTGCCGTTTAGTGTGGACTCTGATCCACTCAGTGTTTCACTGTTTACTCACAAGTCAGTTTCTGTGTGTTGAAGAAACCCGTCATTAGTGTCAGAGGAAGATATTTCGGTAGAAGAGTGTGTGATTTACCATCCTGGGGTTAGAGGAAAGTCTTTTTGAGACTGTGTTCTGTCTCTCTGTGTCAGTGCTCAGGCTTTCGTCACCTGTAAACACAGGCAGCGGAGGCATGCCCAGGCACTGCCCAGGTATCGGTATGCGTCAGCTATGTGAAGTGTGTTACTCCAACCTTAATCTTTTACCATTTTATTTTTCATGGAAGGAGAGTTAACACGATCTTCACATCTAGACACAACATTAGCATAGAGTTTGTCGAGAAAATAACTTCTTGCCTTTGCTCACCCTATAACGACATGATGTCATTCTCACTAAGGTATCAGCACTTGTTTTGACATTTCTGCAAGCTCGCTATAAAAGTTGTGACTGGAACTAAAGTGGAACGCTTATTGAGTGGTGCAGGAATAACCCAGAAACAAGTTGGTATTTAGCACTCCGGGCTCCCACGACTTAAAGTCAAAAATGTTTTGATTGTGTTTTTGTATAGATGCCAACATTTTGATCTGTGCTCATTATAAGCTTAGGAGATGTTCACATGTTGTCATAACATACCTCAGTAAACACTGGTGAATGTCTGAGCCTTTTACTTTAAAAAGTCTGTAGTTAGAAAGTGGCAAAATTAGACTACTTACTGTCATCATTCTGAACATTAGCCGCCTTTAGCTTAGTTTGTTTAGAGCCTAACGTATCATAAAAGTGTGTTTGCCAGAGAGCTCATTTATGCAATATTCGGAAATGCAATGAAAAATCGTCGCCCTAGAAATGCTAGCTTCCTGGAGGCCTACACAAATATGAAATCACTTCCCCACCCTATAGTGTCTTTAGAGAGAGCTGTTAAAATCTGGTAAATAGTGTGATGTCACTTGAGTCAGTGTCGGTTGCATCTGAAGACTCCGAGTGTTGGCTAGTAAAATAAAGTAAAGTTGGAGAGCAGAGATCTTACAGAGCTCTGTAGCCTGCTGCTCATCAGGCTACATTAGCCGCTACTAGCACAACACAAGGGAATCTCTGATCACACTGTCAGTGGTCCAGATGCGTAGTGATTCATTAGTATTCTTTAAGTTATCACCATGTGTGTTTGAGCCCTGTGATTAGGTGGACCTACACTACCCCAACTACATTTCGCCTTTATTCAAATTGAGGGGTATTTCCATAAAAATCATTTTGAAATCATTTAAAAATGTCAGGGCAAGACATAACGTGTGGCAGTGATTATAAAAGTGTGGTCAGTGCTGAAGGCATTCGGAGGAATTGTCTGATATTTCCGGAAAAGTTACACAAGATCTGCCACCAGGGCAGTCATCTTTTATCGTGGCAAAAAGCACTTTATCATAAAACCTAATTTCTTTCCTGGAATTCCCTCCGGGCATGCACACCATCGTCATGAATGTGGGAAGAAGATTTTTTAACTTGTGCAACCATGATGTTTGTTGTGCAGTCAGATGCTCCCAGTGATCAGCTCTTCAGACCCCTGAAAGAAGCCATGCACAGATGTTTCTCTCTTTTTAATCACTTCTGCATTTCTGGACTTTGATATTCAATTTGTAGCCCTTTTGAGGCTTGCAGTGTCTAACAGTAGTAGATCATTTGTTTCTAAGCAAGTCTCTACATGTACTTTAGTAGCATTAAACTCACTTTTTTAAAGTTCCATCAGTTATCTGACAGGTCCTGGCTCGTTGGGTAAAAGGGAAAAAACCCAAAACCAGATGCACTTGTTGTTGTAAGTTGTTTAATGAAAAACTCAAATTAAAGGGATACAAACAGTAGTGCTTCTGAGTGCTGTGTGAAACTAAGAAAGGAGGTTACTTGGTTAGGAGTCCCCCAAACTAACCATTTGTTGAAAAAAAGCCATTTGTGATTGTCTTTTAAAACCAAATATGAGCAATTTCTAATCTAACAGACCTATCAACAGGACATTAGTTTGTCTAGACCAGGGGTGCCCACACCTTTTCAGCTTGGGAGCTACTTCTAAAATGACCAAGCCTAAATGATCTACCTACAGGGCCGCCCCTGCCCAATCTGTGTCGCGAGTGGGGGGGGGGGGGATAAACGGTGCCGCATAAGCGCATAATAGTGCGCCGCATTTGCGCTTCAGATGAGGAGGTGAGGCCCCCTCATAACTGCATGAACCCGTATGGCACAATACAACTCAGACTGGCTTACCTGTACGTCACTCAAGTGGCAAATGCCATAGTAAGGATGGATGATAGGCTAACTTTTAATTTTTTTTTTTTTTTTTCTTCTTTTTTTTTCAATGCCATGGGATCTACCCAAACTACCTTTGCGATCGACGTACCCCTGGTCTAGACTCTCCAAAACTGTTAGAAACCTTTCTTTTTTTTATTGAAGCATTGTTCCCTAACTTAACTTAGCTGTTTCCGTGCCTAAGCATTACCAGACCTAACCATAGCATTCTGGCCGACGGGACATAAGAAACCAGATTTATTTGTGTAGCGTTTTTAGAAAAGGAAAAATTGTTTTTAAGGTTAAAATGACTTTTTGGAAAGGATTTGGAAAGTCCATGGGTTGGGAAACAATGTGGTCATGGTTAAAATAAACAAGTCACTGGCTTTGTTGAGGTTTTAAGCAATATAACTTGCATCTTGGAAATGACGACCCACTGGAGTCATGATTCACACGGGTCCTTGACCAATAAATGTTAAAGGTCCCATGTCATGCTTTTCCGGTTATTACCCGTCCCCTTGTGTGTTATGTAGCTTTTTCTGCATGTAAACGGTCTGCAGAGTCACAAACCCTCAAAGTACACCCTGTAGCGAGTAAAACTCTAACACAGAAAAGACCTGTCTATGCTGCCCCAGAACGCCTCGTTGGAGATTTTTGTTTTTACATATTTTCTTCTGGGGCAGGTTGACGTCACTAAGTCCAAATGGACCAATTGGACCATTCCGCACACATACACTCACTCAGCCTGAGCTACACACACACACACACACACACACACACACATACACACACACACACACACACACACACACACACACACACACACACACACACACACACACACACACACACACACACACACACATACACACATACACACATACACACATACACACACACACACACACACACACACACACACTGCTGCCGGAGCACCGCGGAGCTCAGTCCCCACGCAGCAACCAGGAAACGACACCAGTAATCCAGCTCACACTGTCCGCTCCTCTCAGCAGCGAGCCCCGCAACGTCCCGCCAACACGGCACCCAGACCCCACGCAGCATTCTCATCTGTTTGTCATTACTGGTGTCATTTTCTGGTTGCTAACAAACGCCATTGTAACACATGCTGTATGAGAAACCAATGTGAGTTTGGAACATTGAACAATGTAAATCTATTCTAGTAGACCTCAACAATGGAATTATGATCAGTAGTAATGGCCATGACATGGGACCTTTAACATAGATTGTGTTTTGCATTTGTACTGATGACAAACGCTGCTGGCAGGACAATTTGCACATGATAGGCAATACACCGTTTTTTTGTTATCAGATATCCCTGTCTGAGAATGATCTTCCACCCTTATCCAGTGGAGATGGAGGGACAGCATCAGTGCTTACAGAAACAGTGTTCTGGGTATTCTGGAAATTCCACTTACCCAACTATCAACACGTCTCCTCGGGGCCGTTTCTTTGAGAGGGACAAACAGAGACCCCCTGATCTCCGTCTGTCTCTGTCCTGTGATGACCATCAGGTGGGACAAGACGCTCCTGAGGCCTTCGTTGTAACTGTTGGTGTTTTATCTTGTCAAGTAGTTTTCTAGGAAAAGAGAGCAGCCTAATGTCGTTGTCCTCGACAAACACTGTTAGTACTTGTTTTGCTTTTGTATTGTTTCTAATCATGCTGCGTCACTTCTCGAAGCTTTAACACAGCTTTAACTCATAAACTTCACTGGTTACTTGCTTGCAGGATAGCCTTTTAACATCAAATACTAGTATCCAGTTCTCATTTGAAACAGGAGAGACTTATTGAATGAATGAATATTACGGACATCATGTGCTCAAGAGGATAGAAAGTTTTGATTTGATTTGATTTGATGGATTAATTGAGTGATAGAAAAGTGAAGAGTCTTTGACGATAAGACCCCATTGTTATACTATACAAGGGGGAGCATAAGCCGTAAGTAGAATAGGAAACCACCCCAAGGGTCTTGACACTGGTGGTGATGGTGGTGAGGAGAAGACTGGAGATGGAGGGGTCAGAGGAGGGTCACAGCGGTTACGCCAGAAATGAGGAGCAGCACAATGATTGGCTGCTGGATATTAGGCAACATTTGGTCAAAGACAGCTGGAGGAGACAGAGATGAGTATGAATGAACGTACTGTGGAAACCACATGTAAATATTTGTTACGTGGTATTTTTCACTTATTATTCATGGTGAGCATGTTCACTGGAGCTCGGGGGGGTAATAGTTGTGGTTTTATCTGACTGCTCTCCTCTGTTCACTTCAC